GAGGTAAAATCTCTGTCATCAGTGATGCAGCAGCAAAAGTCCCACTGATAATATCAAACAGAGTCATAAAGTTTTCTGTTGGACTATCAGTGTACATGTATACATTAAAAAATAAATGTATTTTTCATCATCATATACTGTGTTTTTGTCGCTTGAATGAATTTTATTATTTCTTCAAGGTTCTTCACATACGTACACCTTAGGAGATATCAAGTAGGCGTAACGTGTTCTCAAAAAATTAGGGTTGGCACGCAGAAGAATTTTGAGTCAGAGATTTTGCTGGTTTGGCACACACTCACAAAAAAGTTGCCCACCCCTGCCCTAGATCATATGCAGACTGGCATGGTGAGTGTGTGGCACAGGTGGAGGGGGGGGGCAGATTGGAGGCAGTTTGGGGAGATAGGCATATATCAAAGAGGAAAAGCAGACATAACGAGATCCCTGGGATGCTTACGGAAACAGTCCAGACTAGAGATGAAGATCCAAACTAGGGTGAACAGTGGCTTCACCCAGCCTCTTCTTTCTGAAAACAGTGGGCCTTTTCCCTGACGTTGTATTTGTACCAATGGTCCTGTTGCCTCCCTTCTCTCAAGGATCCTGCTTTCCTTGTCTGTTCAGTCTCCTCCCACTGACTTGTAATTCACTGATTCTTTGTCCAAGGCCTCCAGACCAGTGGAAGTCTCTCCATTACTTAGAAAAAGAAAAAATGTTCAACTTGCTTCCACTAAGATCCCCTAATCATCTTCCTTAACCATCGGCCTTTGTTAGTAGAATTAGCTAGCCCCATTGTTCCCACATGCCCTGGACAAGTCCTCAAAGCCCTCAGTGTCTCTCTGCCATCATGCCTCTGAAACCAGCTGCACTCTCCAAGGCACCAGCTGGGCCTCCGCAGGAACAGAAATACTGTCTACAGAAGGAGTAGGTCAAGCCTCACTGTACTTTGCAATAACTACTCGATGCTGGACCCAGGAAACTTCATTTTAAGATGGGTGCTGAACAACAGATGTTCTGAAAAAGAACCGGTACATTAAGAGAAACGACTGAAAGGGAAGAGTCCATAACTTGGTAAGATGAAAACTTGTGAAAAGATGACCTGATGGGTCATCTCAATTTAACTATTTGAGAGATCATTAATGCTGAGCTGCTATTACCTGGGAGTATAAAGGGCAGAATTCAGTGCAATACGAGGAAGTATACCTAAGTAGTCATTGTTAGAAAGTCACCTAAAAATGTTTATACACAAATTGATGAGTACATGTCTGAATTGTCTAAAGCTTTGATTCTCAGAATGTGGTCTGTGAGTAGGAATCGCAGCATCACCTGGGAGCTTGTTAGAAATGCAGACTCCTAGGCCCCATTCCAGACAATTAACCTGCATTTACTAAGACTCCCTGGAGATCATCTGACAGTAAAGTTTGAGAAGCACTGCCTTAAGGGAATCTTGAAACTAGATATAAGAGGATGTGAACTTGTTCTTGTGCTTTCCCTCCAAATATTAATGTATGGAAAACAATTCGCTCTTCCCGAGATCTGAAAGTTGTTCCATCCACTTCCTGCCTACCAGGCCAAAATACTGTTAATTGGTTTCATAGCCTCACCTTTCAAGAGTGGTTTTTAATACCTTAAACAACAGCCAAAGCTTATGCAAACATTTCAAATGTTAATTTCTTTTATTAATGTAAATGTTAAAAACTGAGTTAAGGTAGCTTACAATGGTATGTTTACAATAGAGCATTATACAAACTGGTGAAAAGAAAAATGTTGCAGGAGAAAAATAAGGGTAGAAAAGCAAACTGGATTTCTATGGCTGGTATTTAAAATGCATAATCATGACTCCTAACCACTTTTTAATTAAGGGCTAGGTTTGATTCCAAATTTCCTATCAGCTAGCTCAAAGAGTGTGATATTTTCCACAATGCACATTTAGAATGCCATGATTAATGACCCTGCGACACTCCACTAAAGATATTCAAAATGTTGAATAGAAGATTTATGCTTTACACTGAACTGATTTTGAGACTTTCTATTGTGTTTTTTAAAACATTTGAATGAATCGCACTTATTGGCATAATTACATTTTCTTTTCTAGACAGACTACACAGCATGACTCAATGTTGAGAAGTGGTAACGAGACACTCACATCAAAAACAAGATTTAAAATAGGGAAAAAATGGAACTTACCAAAGAGATTTCCTAAACTTGCATCCATTTTTATTTCAAATACTTGAGAAATAACATAAAACGTCAGTAAAAATACTGCCACAGCTACCACCAGCTTTGCAGCACCTACATAAAGAGAAGAAACCAGCTTATGAGCCCACAGAGCTTTTATTATGTAACAATTCAATGAAAAGTGTAAGTTCATATAAAGTCTTAAGACTAATACATTTTTACTTTTTACCTACTGAGCTTAATTTTACTTGAGTTACAACAAAAACTTTACCAACCACCCATCAAAATAAAGGATTTTCCTGATCAAAGAATTATCAGACTGACCAGCAATCTAAACAAAGAAATGTTTGAGTTATCTGCCTAATTTTACATTTAAAAAAAAAAAACACAAAAAAATCCCTGCCATCAATTGGTGGCCGACTATACAAAAGTATCATGACTAATGGAAGCCTGCCACCAAGTTTGTTGGATGATCCCTTCCTAATCCTTTTCAAATATAAAGGGCAACCGTGCTCTACAAGGATGACACCAAAACACTGGATCTTCTGGAGCTACTGATGCAACAGAGCATGATGTCCACCCAGCAAGGAGCTCTCAAGTGAAATGTCCTATCACCAGCCAACCTAGAGACACATGAGTCTCCTGGTATGGGGAACCAGAAAGTGTTTCTCCTCAGACTTGACACTTAGTTTAAGACAGGCCTTCTCCACTCCTGGGTCACTCTGGCTGGCACCTCTCACATATGATTCACAATCTGGTTCCAGGGTGAGCTCTATGAAGACAGACTCTGAGTCTTTTATAACTTCATATTTTTAACCATTTCTGAGTGCCTTACAAATAGTTAGCACTGCTATGAACTAATTAACTGCTTAATACGAACCATCACTTGTCCTTTTTCTCAGAAGCTCAGTAAATCTAGGAAAGAAAAAGTGCAAGATAGGAAAGGGAGGCGGGAACCTGATCGATCCTGATCACCGGCCAGGCCTAGGGACGCTACCCGTGCACAAATTTCGTGCACCCGGCCTCTAGTACTGATATAAAAGAGGGAGTCAGGATCATTAGTTCTCTCATTCTCCTTAAGGAAACAAAGGTCCAGAGATGAGGCAACTGCCCAAGATTACAGAGCATTTCGTGGCAGCACAAGAACCAGAAACCAGGGGTCCTGACAGGGCCCAGGGCTTCGTACAGTACTCTGTCCTAACTCCAAATGACTATGTTCTCCTGAAAAACTACTAACACTCAACATACTGAGAAAGAAAGAGTAAAAGAGCACTATACTCCTTCTAATTTCATAAACCTAAAGATGTGAGAACTTCATCGTAAGAGGAAGGAAGGAAATGAACTGGGAAGCTTGGAAAGGCGCATGCCTCCAGGAGGCAGCCGTTTCTCAGAGTTCCTCATTTCTACTGAGAAACACTCCAAATACAGAAACGAAGTGGCAATGACAAAACAGAGCTGACCACTACAGGATTTTAAAAAGATTCCCATACCCTAACTGGTTTGGCTCAGTGGATAGAGTGTCAGCCTGCGGACTGAAAGGTCCCAGGTTCGATTCCTGTCAAGGGCATATACCATGGTTGCAGGCACATCCCCAGTAGGAGGTGTGCAGGAGGCAGCTGATCAATGTTTCTCTCTCACTGATGTTTCTCTCTCTCTATTCCTGTCCCTTCCTCTCTGTAAAAAAATCAATAAAGTATATTAAAAAAAAAAAAAGATATCGGCCTGGCTGTAGCAGGTTTGGCTCAGTGGATAGAGCACTGGCCTGCAG